CTCCCTTGATGTCACCTGGGACAATCTCTGGTCTTTCAACTACATTCTGTTGATTCTGGAACTCCTTGAGTGACCTCAGTGTGGTGGTGATGTCACCTTTCACCAATTCCTCTTTCTCAATCACAACTGTCTGCTTCATGGCCTGTTTTAGAGAGTTCAAGGCTGATCTCACATCCCCCCTCTCAATCTCCTTCTTCTGCACATTGCCGCTTGAAGTGTCCGGCTGGGTCATAAAAACCTGAGCAGTGTTGTGCACGTCACCCGGGACGATGTCATCCTCAGCTATGGTGCGTTCAATTTGGAGCTGATTCCTTCTCAGGACAAGCTTTATCTCTTCTATGTCACCACCTACAATTTGCTCTTTCTCTGCCTTATCATTGTCAACCTCATCTGGTTCAGCCTGGAGCTGTTTGAGGTAGTCTAATGCACCAGACTCTATACAGGTAGAGTAAAAACTAACATTTCCCCTTTCCGCTTCACCTACTTTTATTCGCATAAGTTGCTCTGGATTATCAGGGTTAGAAAGGAGTCTGTGCAGAGTCCCTCTTACGTTACCTTCAATGATGTGCTCTTTATCGATAGCAGTACTTCTATTATTATTGAGAAGAGAATACATAGTCATCTTTATATCTCCCTTCTCATCCTCCTGAATAAGTATACCCTGTCTTTCAGAACCTTCATTCTTCAGTAGGCTGTTAATGGCCTCCTGGATATCTCCTCTGATGATTTCCTCTTTACTTACATTGAGCCTTGTCTCCTGGTTGAACAGCTGTTTCACCGTTGTATTGATATTACCCCTTTCTTCCTCATTTATTGTAACTGCGCTTTTAGCTACTTCCTCGTGCTTCAGCAAATTCATTACTATATTTTTCAGGTCCACACTGATGACTTTTTCTTTTTGGATTTCTGGAACTTCCTGATTCATGAGCTTAAACTTTGCCATTCTGACGTCACCCACTTCATCTGCCTCTATAATTATTCCGTGCGAGCTGGCTGTTTTTTGACAGTTCAGCTTTTCGAGGGTCTCTCTGACGCTTTTGCCCACTATTTCAACCTTCTCCACCCTGCTTTCATTAAACTTGTGGAAAGGTGTTGTTTCAAATAGCCACGTTGTCGTTTTCACATCCCCTTGTGGAATCCCCTCCTGGTTCGTGCCAGCGTTGGTTGTGTCGACGTCTTTAATCGTGTCAAGAGGCTGTTTTTCAAAAAGCCATACCGACTGCATGACATCCCCCTTTAACATTTCATCTTTTCCTACTCTTTCCATCTCACTGCATTCTTTATCATGGATCTCCTCGATTGTATTTGTCTCAAACATCCACGCTGCACTTCTGACATCCCCCTTCTGTATTTCACTCGTGCTGACCGTCCTCTCAAAATTCTGAGACATGTCGTTGTTCTCGAAGCGCTGCTTGTTACTCCTAACATCTCCCCCTTGAATATCATCCACAGTCCTAACAAAAACTTTTGCATCTTCAGAAATCTCATCAAGAGGCTGTGTCTCGAACCTCCACCTGGCTGAGGTGACATCTCCTTTCTGAATATCCTCCTTTGTGACAGCTTTGATAAGGTAAACCTCGTTTGTGTCCTTTATGGAATCAAGAGGTTTGGTTTCAAACAGCCATCTTGTTCCCAATACATCTCCTTTTGTCACATCCTCCTTGGTGACAGTAGTGACCTCATGGTAATTGCCCTCTTGATCTCTGATGGCATATAACGGCTGAGTTTCGAACATTATGGTATGATTTTTCACATAACCTTTCTCAATCTCTTTGTGGATAGATTGAATATCTGTGGTTTCTGATTTGGAGGAACCCTCCTGGATTTTATCCAAAGAGAACGTCTCAAAAATAAAACGACCTCTATTGACATCGCCCCCTTGTACATCATTTACAGTGTGAGTCTCCTTAGCTTCTTCACAATTTCCATGAATGGTGTCTATAGACTGATTTTCAAACAGCCATGTGCAGTTAATCACATTTCCTTTCTGAATATCTTCTGGCGTAATATATTTTAGCTTTTGCATAGTCTCCTCTGAGCTTGAGGTCATTATATCAGAGGACTGGTTTTCAAATATATACTTCATCTTAGATACATCTCCAGACTGAATATCAATATCTGTGACCTTCTTAAAAGCAGCAACCTCTTCTCCTGTGATATTTTCCAGGTTCTCGGTCTCAAAAAGAAAACGTGTCATTTGGACATCATTCCCTTTGACATCATCCAGTTTGACGGTGTATGTTTTTATGTCCGATTGGGAACTGTCTCCGATTGTGTCAAGGGCTTGTGTTTCAAAAAGCCAAGTACATGTTTTCACATCCCCTATTTGGATGTTTTCCGTTTCTCTTTCACCTTCCCTCTCCATTTTCTCATAAAGAAGATCCATGGGTTGAGTTTCAAACAGCCATCTGCATTTTTTCACATCCCCTTTCACTATGTCATTTTCAGAGTTATTGTCCTCAACCTCCTCATCCTTGGCGATGCTGAAATATTTGATAGAGTCCAGTGGCTGTGTCTCAAAAAGCCACTTTGTTGTTTTAACATTGCCTGATTCAATCTCCTCTTTGGATATTCCTTTTATAAGCTGGAACTTGTTCATACTCTCATCAAACTGATCAATAGGACATGTTTCAAACATCCACTTGAAACTTTGGACATTCCCTTGCACTATTTCCTCCCGTCGTACCGTTTTCACCTCATGGTAACTGCCCGAACTATCCTGCATGGCATAAATGGGTGTAGATTCAAAATAGACTTTGTTTGTCTTCACAGAGCCACTGGTTATACCCTCTACTTCCATTTTTTGAATTTGGTCATGTCTGCCTAATGTAGTAGTTTCAAATATTTCCTTGCAGTTTGTGACATCCCCCTTGTCATTTTCTTCAAGCTTCACAGTGCGCATTATCTCCCTTTTCTCCTCTCTGATGTTCTCAAGTGGTTGGCTCTCAAAGACCCATTTCTGATGTCTAACATCGCCTCTCCCCTCTTGTGATGCTACTACTTTTTGAAGTTTGCCTACCTCAGACATGTCCTTGAAATGCTCCACTGGAGCACCTTCAAAAAACTGTCTGGTTGATTGGACATCACCTCCTATAATATCTTCTGTATACCGGGGTTTGTCATTGGAATGATCTTTCAAAGCATCCATAGGCTGCATCTCAAACATCCTGCAATGCTTGCGGACATCAGACCCAATTATTTCCTCCTTTTGGAGCCTAGAGTTCTCCCCATCCTCAACTTGAATGGAGTCTAAAGTTTTCATCTCAAAAAGCCATCTGCCCTTGTTCACCCCACCCTGATAGTTATCCTCCATGGACACCCCGCAAACAAGTTTCACCTGTGCAGGGTCCTGGTTGATCATGTCTAGAGGCTGGGTTTCAAAGAGCCAACGGGATGTCTTGACATCCCCTCTCTCAGTTTCCTCCCTGCGAACGGTTGTGATTTCGAGGATCTCACCAGCTTCCCCCCTGATGACACACATAGGCTGGGTTTCAAACATGCTGGTTGTTTTCTTGACTCCTCCCTTAATCTCCTCAAGTTCTGATTTTAGTTGCAGGAAATGGTTCTCATCAATGGTCTCTGTATGACCTAGAGAGTCAAGGTGTTCATTTTCAAACAAATACCTGCCATATTGCACGTCCCCACCAATCACGTCATTTGTGCCGATAGTTGTGATTGGCTCCTCCTCCTGATAGATTGTATTAAGCGTGTCTAATGGCTGTGTTTCAAAGAGCCAGGTAGCAGTGCGGACATCTCCTCTTGCCCAGTCAGTTATTTTGCCCCTGTATCCAGCTGAATCTGGGGAGCTTGTGCCCAGTGCATCCATTGGCCGGGTCTCAAACATCCATGCTGTGTATTTGACATCATTCCCTGCAATGATCTCCTTCTGAGCAATGTTCTTTATGTTGTCACCATCAGGTGAATATTCTCTTATTGAGTCCAGGGGTTTGTTTTCAAATATCCAGCGCATGGACTGTACTTCTCCTTTGAGGATCTCATCCCACTCCATGTACTCTCTTTCTGGGCTTAAACACTTGCTTGGACTGCTTCCAGAATTCTCAAACATAAATCTGGCCTGCTGGTAATCATCTGTGATTCCATCATGACTCTCCAACTCATTGAAAAAGTCCCTCTCAAGACTCTTACGTACCTCTGGATTAATGTGCTTGTACAAGCGCTTAAACTCATACAGATTTCTCTGCTTAGAATATTGTTCCTTAGTGACTATGGGTTTAAAGTTCAGTTCTACTGGCTCAGGTGAGTAGGGACGTTCGGGAACCTGCAGTAGATCTGATGGTGGAGGAGGGAAGTTCTCCAAGCTCCCATAGGCTGAGGTTCTACCCTCCACTTCCCTAATTATGGATGATGTTTCATACATTCGCTCTGTTGAAGTTTCAGATGACAGATTTACATCTTGGCCCCACTGAAACTGGCTGAAATCAACATCAGTCTTTTGGAGAAAAAAATTATTGTACCAATCAGCATTCATTAATATTAAACAAATCTTTTATAATACAAACCATATGTATTTACATTTATGTGTGTGATTTTTCAGTAGCTATAAATACTGAATAGGGCTGATCTGACTCAGAAAGTCTGGTACTAACAAAAGAGGGAAAGAGAGGAAAATGAATGCAGAAAGATATGTTTTTATAAAGTATCGTGATTCTCTAAATTAATATGTAACATCCAATATAATTGACCAGCAAATTGGTCCATCATTGATCCATCATTGTCTATTCAGCCAGAGGACAGAAATTTTTTATTAATTTTCCCACAATATAAGCCAAAAAACACAACTTGAGTTTGGAATGTGCCCAGCTATTTGCTAATAAATTTTATTTAGGACTTGCTTATATATCATGTTTTCTTTCTTGTAATTTTGCAATAAGCTTTGTGAATATCTATACAAAAAAACAACATGTAAAAGCTATCATTTTACAAGATGCTGACTGATACCATACGACCTGAGGTTAACACCTGGCATGTAGATCTTTTACCTTAATTGGTTTGCTTGGTGCTGCCTGTTCAATGGTTTTTTCATACTGCTGCTTCAAAGCCCTGGTAGAAAGCTTTGGTAGATCCTCTCCTTCTGATGCCCTCACTGAAAAAAAGGCCAGAATGCTTATCAGCACTTGTGCTATCTACTCTGAAGCACACTTAAAACCAAAAGCTTATCTTGGTGGCCCATCTTTGTAATTGTATGCTAACAGTCGATGTTTTAATGAAATAGATTAAATAGTTTGTGTATGTTTGTAGGGAAGATGTATGACATTTGACAGTACTGTACTGTACCTGCTTCATCATCATGGTTTTCATAATGGGCAGCCATATTGCTCTGGTGAAAATTTTGATTATGTGAGACCTGGAAAAAAAGAAATGAAAAAATCACTGCCTAAGCATAATATGATTACATTCAGTGCTTGAAGTGGGGCAAAACAGGTGCCGGTACTCCCCTTATTACTCAGTACCAAGTGCCGGTACTCTCATTGTTATTCAGTACCAGGGGCCAGTACTCCCCTTGTTACTCAGTATCAGGTACCAGTACTCCCCTTGTCACTCAATACCAGGTGCCGGTACTCCCCTTGTTATTCAGTACCAGGTGCCGGTACTCCCCTTGTTATTCACTACCAGGTGCCGGTACTCCCCTTGTTATTCAGTACCAGGTGCCGGTACTTCCCTTGTTACTCAGTACCAGGTGCCGGTACTCCCCTTGTTACACAGTGCCAAGTGTTGGTACTTCTGTTGTAATTGAGTACCAGGTGCTGGTACTCCCCTTGTTATTCAGTACCAGCAAATACTGAGAAGTGTCGGTACTCTGAAGAGAAAAACAATGAAGTGCTGGTACTGCATACCAGTGAGTATCGGCCAACTTCAACCACTGATTACATACATATGTAACGAAACACAATGGCAAGTATTTGCTGAACTTTACACTAAAACATGCTTTCAGCTCTTCTGACATGACTACCTATACTTTTTACATAGAAAGTATTATTCCATTGTACTGTTCTGTTACTGGCAAAAAGGGTGAATTATGGCAGTTAGTTTCCAGGATTGAACCCGAGGTTTAAGTCATTATAATTTTACACCAATTTGGGTTTCAATAGAACTTCTTTGCCTCTCATTACCAAAATTGTAACAGCAAACTACCCAGCAGCATATCACCCCTTTTGACTCTACACTGTCCTGTCTTCTCAAATAAAATGGTGTTTTGTGTAATTCACTCATAATCTGCTTTGCAAGGTGATTCAATTTGCCCCGATGCCTGCAGCAACAGTAACATGAGCAGAAAAAATCAGGCAGCATTTTATTCAGGCCTTCATTCTTATTTATGGTTGACAAAAATGAAAAGCTCCAGAAGATTAGTTATGAACAAGTGTAATTTATTGTATTTGTACAGTTACAGCTATGGATTTTTCAGCAAATTAAATGTGATGCCAAACAGGAAATTATAAAGCATTCTGAAGTATTTCAGATTTCAGGACTCATACCGGTTTATGACTTGGGCCAAAATTCATTTCTGAATTCCTCCTAAGAGATACATTAGAAGCTTATTTTGGACAAAAAGATGTCCTCCCAAGGGTGGCGATTTAGAGGATGTCTCCTCTGTACAGGTGGCAAGATCTATTACCAGGAATAGTCTTCAGTTACCATGAAAAGTGGTTAATTTCCGTGGGTTAAAATGTCCTCATGATAATTCAATACTAAGATAGACAGATAGATAGATAGATAGATAGATAGATAGATAATATCTGATGAAAATTTATGTTTCTTATATATTTATTTATATCTAAAATTCAGGCCAAATTTGCAACTTTCACTGCATCGCCTAATCCAGAGATTCAGATAAGACTATGGACCTGCAGGCAGAAGGGCTAACACAGGTTAAGGGTTTATTCTGTGTGCAAATGGTGGGCATGCAGGCAGCCAGCTGCAGACTGGGACCCGTGCAAATGGCCTGACCCGTCAGCCGTGATTAGCCGTGATGCAGCTGTTCTGCCTGCAGGGTGCGCCCTGCCCCCCTGCCTGTCCCGCCTAATCTCCCACATACAGCTTTACCTTCCGCTATTGTGCAAATGAGACCTGTGGAGAGGAAGGGCCAGCTGCTCTGGAACTTTTCCAGAATGTCACCGTGGTGGCGGTGTGACAGTGGGGGGGGCAGTAAGCATTGGTGGCACACACGGATACTCATGGACACGCAAGGACACGCACATATGCTCACGGCGGGGAACCACCTCACTCCTCACAGTCACTGCTACTCGCAGTTCCAGAGGGACCAATTAATGTTCACGCAGGAGCAGATTAATAAGAAAAAAATGGCATCAGGAGGGATGATAAAATCACAAATAATCTCGCCGGAATGACAGTAACGCAGCACTTGTGCCATAGCTTTGAGACAGTTTACCTAGAACCCGTCTTACTGCACAGCAGGGGAACCAGCAGATAGTCACATTGATGGCATTTAATAGCTTATTTCTCTAACGGATCTTATTATTAGAACGGGAGGCAGGCATACGAATGCGGTGTCTCCAGCCAGCATGACCCACGGATCTTTTATTGTTGTGGATCGTACAGCATAAACGGAAAGAAAACTAGTATGAAGAGGTTAAGCGGTCCCCCCCCCGTGAAAATGGGACATTTTGGCACAGCAGAGGTGTCAGTGTTTCATTCCGAATCTGGGGCAGATCCAGGTGAGGGTGCATGACATGGGCAATAGCCCGGGGTGGCATCTTCTGAAGGGGCTCTGACTTAGCCACCCACCGGTGCCACCATCCCCACATAAAGGTTTTGTGTTGTACCACCCATCTCACTGTTCTCACTGCAGCTAGGTTCACATGTACGCGTCCAACACCATGTATGGATGGCACTGAAGTTTTCATCGGGGGGGTGAAGTTTGTCTAGAGCACCACATGGGTGTCGACTGGCACTGGTCTCGATGCTGCTTCCTCCTCACTCGGGTCATTGCAGATCTTGCACTCTTCTGCTTAAATTCGATATGTTAGGGAGAGCGAGGGGCATGAAATCCCTGCGGGAGCCTGACTGTGCGGCTGCCAGGATGGGACTAAAACCACCACACCGCTGGCGCCTCCTTATCTCCCCCGCTGCCCCCTCTCGCCCCGGCGTCGCCCAGGATGCCCTTCTGCCCATTAATTACCTGCGCAGGCCGCTGCTGGAGCTGCACCTGGGTGGTGCCGCTCTGAGACGAGGCGATTTCCTGGCTCTCAAATTGCTTCTTGACGCTGGCGAGCCCCCCAGGTAAGGAGCATGGCTCCGACTCCCCCAGGACCTAATGAGCCAGGAGACACACTGTGAACACCACCGCTCTACATGACCTGCAAACCTCACAGGCAACTTTAACTGTGCCACTGCTATATATGGCTCGCCCATCCATCCATCCATTCATCCATCCATCCATCCATCCATCCATCTGTTCATCTATCGATTCATTCATCTTCAAACTGCATTTTCTGCTGAACCTCACAGTACCTTAATAATTCAACCTTGCCCTGGTGCGACTGGTGAGAAACAGTCCTCTGGCTTATTGTTTGATTTACGTCGATCTTTACTACCTAATCCAAGTGCGTTACAGCCTTTCAGTGTAATTCCGCTTCTGGGTATTGGTATGAGTGAGAGTTTTCCAGGACTGCCCTGTAGGGGGCGCAAGAAGGCTTCACTGAGTTATACTGACCCCTCGTACTGTGACTGTTGGATACACTTCACCCCCATTCTTGCGAAATGAAGAGTAATTGAGAACGGCCCATTTGACAGCACTCTGTTTCCCTGACAACCCGGCAGCGGCCCATTAAGCAAAAAGGGCCTAGACTTGAGCATCTCCCTCTACATGACATATAATTGGGCTTAATTTTATGTGCTTTGACATGTTCTCCTGGCCACAGGTGTTTGCTTGAAAAATAAAACAATAAACAAAAATCATTATGTGCAAAAAATAGAAATAACAATATATTTTTGCAAAATGGTCTGTCTGCAGACCAAAAACATTCCATTCCAGACTTTTCTATGATCCATAGATTGCATTCTTACACTCACAGACACACACACACACACCCACCTTCCTGCTCAGGACAACCAGGTATGGAAAAAGGATGGATGGATGGATGGATGTATGCATGCATGAAACTAGTAATAAACATTACATTTAAGTGTTTTTGACTGAGTCATTTACATAAACCATTCTAAAAGCCTGCATTCTCCTCACCAGTTTTAATTTCAACTATTTATGATTTATTTATAATTATTCAAAAGTTTCATAGCAATTAAAAAGAATCAAGTCCAGGTAATTAATTTTACTTAGGAAATACTGAACTCCCTCCATGACGCATTTCAAGCTTTATATTATATATGGTTTTCTTTATGTGTTATGCATTTTGTATATATTATGTCTATAGATATATGTTACTTTGTTGCATCAGGTTAGTTTGGTCTTTCTTACAGTACATTGTGGTTACGTGTATATATATATACACATATATATATATGTGTGTGTGTGTGTGTGTGTACATGTGTGTTTATTCCTCATACATTTAGTCTGCAACCTTTATATTCTTTGTTTTTCACCATTACATTTAGACTGTCCAGGGGCTGCGTCATGCACATCTTTATTATTTATCAGAGCATCTGTGTGAGCGAGTGCTTTTTCACTCAGGTGGCTGACAAATGCAAAGGCCGTCATCATGCAAGCCACCCCACCCCACGCCACCTCACCCCACGCCACCCCACCTCACGCCACCCCACCTCACCCCACCTCACCCCACGCCACCCCACCCCACGCCACCTCACCCCACGCCACCCCACCCCACGCCACGCCACGCCACCCCACCCCACACCACCTCACCCCACGCCACGCCGTGCCTCCGGAGCTCGTCTCTCACCACACTGGAGGCTCCGCTGGCATCCCGCTTGGAGACCGCAGCCTGGTACAGAGCCATGCGCTCCTTCACCGACACAGGCTCTGCCTCCGCTGGCTCTCCGCTGTCGCTTTGGCTCATGTCTTCCCTGGAACGTTTCTGCCGCCTGCTTCCGCTTGCGCCGCCCGCAGCTGCGAGGGACACCGTCGTTAATTATTCACATACCGCTCACGGCACTTACACATTACTGCCTGTAGGAGGCGACGAGGTGACTCTTTCGTAATAGGACATGATGTGACCCCCACACACTGGCGGCATCACAGCATGTACAGAGATGGGGGTGAGTTTAAAAATAATACACAAGGGCACATCCAGGTGCCCACAATGTGTTGAGAATTAATGAATCACCTGACCTTTAAAATACCATCCACCGATACTCTTTTAATGGTAGATGTGGCCTCCATTGTAATTTCATATGAAATGTAGAATAGAAATATATGAAATGTAGAAATATATGTAGACTGTTCTGTGAAAACATTTGTTTAGTGCAGACGCTTGCCTGACTGTTGATGACATTGTCGATTTATCACTTTGGGTAGGAGTAAAAGCAAGAAGGTAAAGGGGTATCACAGAACATGACAGACAATTATATATATATATATATATATATAATCCATGAATCCGTGATTATGATTAGTGGGTAAGGGGCAGGAAAAAAGGACCTTTAATCTCTGCATTCAATTTAAAGCTTCAGTCTTTTAATTCTAACATACATTTTAGCTGTAATTGCCCTATGTGCCTAATCAGACCTTAACGGAGAGCATCAAAAATCATAAACACTTTCAATTAGGCAACAAACTTCTCTCATCTAACTCACCCTCTCACAAAGTGACATCACCCTAACCCATTCTGAAACGAGGGATTTAGTATATTGATGTCCTGGTTTCCTGGCAACTGAGAGCAACATCATTCCTCTCCAATACAGAAAACCCCAAACAAAAAGACTCCCCAATAAATAAACCTCTGACATGAATTAATACCGACATACTGTATAATTCAAGCTGAAAATTAAAAATGTGCCAAAAACTTAATTTAAAAAGATGTTACGTGATTAGCGGCATTTTGAAAGAATTTAAGACCTCCCTACATTCGTGAACATTATGCCATTCACTGTGTAAATATGTGCACTTTCTGGCAGTGGTTAACCATGCGGATAGAGCTTTTCATTTTCACTGACTGCACATGCGGGAAGAAACTTGTACCTCCCAGCAAAAGGCCACCAAAAAAGACACAGTCACCATGTTTTCTGCTGTGCATTCATTAATTGGACCTCATATGACAGCACTAATTTATATAGGGTACGTAGTGAGGTAAACTTATTTCCTTGAATGTCTTCACACCCCCCATTCTGGATAACCCCACTGAATACCTTGTAGCATGCCAGGAATATATTTCCATGAAACTACAGCAAAGACTGGGACCAATAAAGTGTTTTTTTTTAAGTAAAGGGTGATTTATTTTTTAAAGAAATTGCTTAAATCCCATTTCAGGCAAGTTGGAAAAATGAAGACATTGAGTAAATCCTTTCCGATAATTTCGTTTTCCCCACAGCTTTCCAAGCACGTCCCCGCTGCAGTTTTACACGTCGACGGGATGCAGTAAAGCGATGCATTTCCTGCAAGCGCCACCATGATGCACTTTTGCTACATTTCCCACAGTAGCTGCTTCCTTTCGTGCCACGTAATGTGTTCATTTTGCTCACCAATTTTAGATTCTTAGCTATGGTGAACATGTGCAAACCTATCAGCCCCCCCAGGAGCGAGGGACTGCCCAGCTCAGCAAACTCCTGAAATAGCTGGGGTTTTCAGCCACTCTGCCCAGCAGATACTGGCCAGACTCACGCCTCTGAAGGTACAGTTATGGGTTCTTTAGAAGAGAGAAAAATATATATGAGTTATCGTGTACTTTAGTGTATCTACAATTGCTGGACCATGCAGTATATGCGAGAGAGAGAAATGAAGTATAATCGCTAAGACTGCCCCTCCCCCATGCTGGGAGATGAGGTGAAAAAAAATACACAAAGGACTGAAATACATCAAGTCAAGGGTCAGTAGCTTGTGTAAACAGAAAGTTAAGCAACCACGGTGATAATCCCGCCTACAAAGTAAATAAACCAAATTTCTAAAAAACTAGTGTTTACATGTTCATGTTCCTGACAAAGGAACATAAAGAGTGTCAGGATAAGGACTTCTCTGAAATTCGGGGTTTTTTTAGCCTGGGCTAAAAGTCCCTCCCATATGCAGGACTGCCGAGAAACAGAGGCACCAAACATCAAACGCGGCATGCAAAATACTGCCATCTGCACGCCTGCTTCTGTACAGTAACTCGATTCTTTTCATTTCTGCCACTGGGACGTCTGCTCAGCCATCAAGTTTGGATTCAGGCTAAACCAGTTTGCTGCTACAGAAAATTATTAAACTGCTTTGGTCTTTGGAATACAGAGCTAGCCTGCTTCATACTGCAACAGTTCTGTCAGCACCGTTCTAACAAAATTTCTTGGTTGATTTAGTGCATCGATGGAAGTCGTTTAAACAAAAGTTTAAACAAAGCATAAACAAATTTCTTAATTTAGAGCATCTGTCCAAAACAGATAATCCATGACATTCAATTGTTTGGACAAGAACAGCTATCACACATTTAGAGCATGAGGTCAAAATTCGTTTTGGTTCACTTATCGCGAAGTACGTAGTGAACCCTTTAATGACAGTCAGATAAATCATGAAGAACTCGCATCATCTTAATTCTTTTCTCCTGCCTTGTGCTCCATGCTGCCTGGAATAAACTCAGGGATGGATGTGTATTCTTATATTAATATTTTTTGCACATTTATTCATTCAAAGATTTCCAGTAGTAGCCAAACCAGTAACATCAATTGCCTTCATAAAAACCTCATAATGTCAGAATGAAAATGTCCACATTCTCGTTACTTAACGTTTATGTTCTGCCAGCTGCCATAAATAAACCACAAACAATTAATGGATTATCTCCTAATTATACTTTAATTTTTTTAAGCAAATTGTTATATTGCACCATTTACTCTCATATGCATTTGCACAAATGATTTGCCACAATTGTTGATCCAAAACATCACCATGCTTCCTGAATCATCTGTGTCCAGGTAGGTGAGCAAGAGCAGCAAGTAGCAAGATGGGAATCAGAGGTGACGGGCTGCAGTCTTACCTATTGTCCTCTGGCTTTCACCAGTGCTGTCCGAGAATAAGATCCCCCAAAGGAAAAGCTTTGAAATCCCCTGCCTGCAGGGTGTCTCTCTTCCTGCACGTGGCGGAGACCAGCTCCAGTAACCTGGGACCTCCTCTGTGCTGGAGAACCTCAGTGACAGCTGGTTTTATTTTAGACCCCCTTCGCAAAGTCTTGGACCCCGAGGGGTCTTTTTTTAGCAGGTGAAGTCGTTGTGCCCTTAATTTTTAAGCCGCTGGCTTCCTCATAGACGGCCACTGTACTTCCTCCTCCAACTGTCATCCACCAATTAACTGTAAATAGAAGTTCTTCTGCCCAGTGTGACTTCTGAGCACGACCGGTTCTTCCCACATCAAATATCTATCAGCTCTGACGAATGACATTTCAACTCCGAGGCATCATTTGAGAGAGAGCGAGACCATAAATTTTTACTATATATTAATTTCCGCACATTTAATTTTCAAAAAAAGAATGCATCAAGTCAAAGGAATGTAACGCGGCTCACACAGCGAGCAGAACATGAATGTAATATCAAGAAGTCATTACAAAGTTCCTTGAGGTCATGTGCTTGTGCTCTGGGCTTAATTATACGAGGTGTTGAAGGCAACTGAGGGGCATTTGTTGTGCAGATGGTGGGCGTCTTCTGAGCCCCCGCCAGCCCACGCCACACTCGCACACCACAGGCTCCGTGCTGCTTTTCTTCTTAAAAGAAAATAAGAGGAACTTCTCCCATTATTGCATCAGAATCATCTGCTTCATATGCAGCATGGTTTATAAAGTCTCAAGTAATCGTGAACATGTACTCTTTCTCTGATAGGAAAAAAGCTCTCATTCTGATGATGTTGTGCAGCACATACAATTTTACAACTAGGATAAAAGAGCATAAAAATTAAACTGGCCTTCTGTGTTAATACATTCTTGTAATGTTAAAGCTATAAAAAAACTTTAATTTACATGCTAAATATCCTATTAATTCTACTACACAACGGAGAGGTAATTAATGCAGGCCATACAAAGAAGCAAATTCAGACGTGGGTCCCTCTCTCTGAGTGAAATGCAAATAGTGCCTTCCATCAACTGGGCATGGACCTCTACATATGACCGAGCGCATGCCACAGGCGTGAGGTAATGCCAGAACAACAAGCCGCCAAAGTCATAGACGGGGAATGAAACTGACCCTTGGATTTAGGGATCGCGAATTTGTGGTCTCCCCTCGTGGGCTGAATGGTGCCCCCTCTATAGGTCCAAAGCCAGATTAGGGTTATCACGAGCTCCTGACCTTTTTTCACGTTTTGTTTTTGCACAACCGCTAAGTTGCTAACGTCCGTTCATATTGATTCGAGCTAGCCAACTAACATTAAAACTAACTAGCAGCACACTAATTGACCCTACACATGATGTCCTGTCAGAAAGAGAGCTGATTGGTTGCTCAGGAAATTCAAAAATGCATCTAATATAAGGGAATCATGAATGGGACCGGGGGGGTTATGGGGGATTGTTCTTCATGGTGCCCTCTGAGAACGTGGATCCCCTGGGCACGTGCCCAAATGTCCATATGGTCAGTCCGGGGCATTGAAGGCCCAGCTGAGGCTGCAATTGCACCAGCCGTGGGGATGACTGAAGGAGCAGCCCGTTGTCACTCAGAAACCCCCTCCGAATGCCGCAGAACCCCCACCCATCAAAGCACAAGGGGATACAGACTCATCAAACACAGTCTTGCAAATCTGAAACATGTCCATTATACTGCGGCATGTCACACCAATGTTAACACTGGGACTCGGTCAACCGACATTTAGTGTAATATCTGTTATTTTTTTCTTTGAGTAATCAGAGATATCTTCTTTAAGGGAGTAACTTTGGGTTGAAATTTGGAGGGGGGGGTAGCTGAGGTCTCCACCCATTTAAGGGAGTCCAGGGGGTTGTATTAGCTGGTTTTGTTTAATTTACGCCCTTGATCTTCAGAGAAATAACAAAATAAAATGACCATGTCTATTACCCTGCTGTGAATGTGAGGAATTCATTTTCAGTCGTCATGCTCTCGTGCCGCATGGAATGTGACACTAAATAAAGACGGTACGAATTGTGAGTCTTATTCAGATTGGCTCTGATATCCTCGCGCTCTGTTTGAGGCATTCCTACCATGTACCAGCCGCATTAATTATTCTCTGTCAAGCATTACAAACAAGCAGAAGCACGGGAGCGACGCTTATTACTGTTATTAATGTTGACAGATATTTTCAGAAGCCTTGCATCTCCAGGGATGACATGCTTATAAAGCTTTTGTTAAGAGTGAGGGGTATAAACTAGGAAATCCATTTCTCTTCGTCTGTGTTATAGAAGAATAATTTAAAAGCTGGCAGATCATGCGAATGCTAAATGGGAGTTCTCACATGAATTTAACTATGCAAGAATATCTATCTATCTATCTATCTATCTATCTATCTATCCGTCTATCCATCCATCCATCCATCCATCCAATGTTTCCTATTACCAGTTCCCAGACACCTTGGAATGCATCCCAGGAACAACAGGCTACACAGTAGTGGCCGGCCTGGATGGTTTACCAGTCTAACATGCTGGGGCACCGCTAGAGATTCTGGGCCCCATGAAAGGAATGAATGTTGTTGATCCTGACTTTTCCCCCTTTCATGTTACTGGCCCATTAGGGACAACAATTCACCGAAGTGCTCATGTTCGAACTGTGAGTGGAAACTGAAATACCTGCAAGAAACCCAGCAGCACGGGGAGTACATGGGGGGGGTGCGATCTCCCCAGCCCTGGGGGAATAAGAAGACAGTGCTAATCACCGCCTCACCGCACCGGTCAAACCAAATTAATCCTCATATTAAAATATCTTTTGACTAAAGCCGGATCTCCTCCCTCACAGCAGATCACTCATAACGGCTCAGGACCTAATGTATTTTTGATGAACCGGTATCCGAAAATATGATGCAATCTTATAGCAAATAAACATTCTCCCAGAAAACTGTGCTGTTCTCTGGAAGCGTTTTATTTGCCTGTGTACATATAAAATGTATCATTTGCTTTCAGTAGTCTGTATGCATAAAAATATTATCCGTTGTGAGAAACAGCAACAGTGTTTGTTCCTTATTAATTTTGCAAGCAAAGTGTGCATAAGAGAAAATGATACACATAATTTTCTCTACTAATGATTCTGTTTTGATAGTGAAAGTTAATTGGATTTTTGCACATATGTTTCCTGTTAATGTGTGTGTACCGTTATATGTTGTTAAATCGTTAGTGCTAATGGTTCCCTGACATGTAGAACTTTGCTATCTGGGTCTTTTTAGTCCAGAATCTCATCTCTGGTTTACAAGAAGTGGCCGCAGTGAGTCCCTGTGGTCCTGTAGCAGGAACACAATTCTGCACACTTAATGTCACTGTGCCTCTCTTTTTTTAACAGCATCTGGAACAAATACTGATTATCTAAAGGCTGCAAACCTGCACGCAGCTGATAATTTTACAGGAACTGAACACAGAATTCCTGGACTGGGACTTAAATCGGCTTCTCCAAAACCTGGCCTCACAGATAAGACCATCTGCCGGTCTGCGACTCTCTCCCATGCCAGAACTCAGGAGCTTCATCTCCAGGACTTTTGGTTCTAACGAATTTTGCAAATTTATTTCATTTTCCAGGGGACTGTACTGTTCAGCTCTGGCCCCTGTCCTAGAGTGAATGGCATTTAGATATTGCTACAGGTACCCAAACATTCAGGTGAAGCACAAGTTGCAGATACTGCATTCAGACACTGAAACAGGCGGAAGAGTTTCACAGGCAATCGCACCACGAATTTTATGACTCACAAGACACTCGTGGGTCATGGGATTGAGGTATAATTAGCAAGAACTTCTGCAGAGGCCTTGTCTCTATTTGACGTGCCGAAAGAGGATACAGTTCACAAAAAAACACTGTTATAATACATTGGAACACCCTCCCAGAGTTTCAGTTTCACTCAGCCACAAATACTATAACAAGTTTAAAAATATTTAATGGTTTTTGTGCAGGAGGTGTTGAGGAGGTATGTGTGCAGGTGTGTGTATGAGAAGGCTTGGGTTACACTCAGACTGAGAGCCAGCGGGTAACTAGGGGCTTCAGGAGAGTTTGCAAAAAGGCTGAATCACTTTAAGTATAGTGATGATCAATATATCAAACATTTGAAGCCTTCATTTCTCAGACGGTCTCTGCAAATACTTAAGTAACTTAGCTCTCCCTTGATAACTGTGTGCCACTCATACGCAAAGCCTTCTTCAAGGCTCATAATTTTCTCAAACAAAGAAGTGGATTTTCCACAGGACTGCGCCAGCACTACAAACCAGCCATCACTTCCACTGCGGTCAACGAAAAGCGCCTTGAAGGTTTCACCGTAGATTCACATTAAAACGTAGCAGAGGGGGTGACGACCCGTTAACAGTGGGACGAGAACGGCATCCATCCGCCGTGTTAGCGTTAGCCGTACACACGCCCCCTCAGCTGAGTAAACACAAGCTGGTAGGAGCAGCCACTCTCCCTTACAGGACCACAGATCATCAACCAGCTACCCACAGAGCTCGTTGTCACACCTGAAGGTCAGCAGCCTCATCCGTCACGACCAAACTGCGTATACCCACTCAATGACAGCTTTACACATACAGATACATTCACCCTTTTTCTTTACTCTGCAAACAACAACAGCAAGAAAAAAAACATTTAATATGTCAAGGCTGACCAGCAGAAAGGAAGCGCAAACATCATATAAAGGGACCTGTGTTGTGTTCTAGACTTAAAGCGGGGAAATGTTGTACACTGCACATGAATATTTAGGACAAGGCATTGGAATGGAAATGTACTATCATTCATTTTTAATCAAAACATCGCCAGTGTATGAAGGCTTCTGCTGCTGACACACTTTCATGTTCGCAGAAATAAAAGGTGATAGTCGACTGCGAAAACCAACAACACAAAATGACTTGGCTAATGACCTTGTAGGTGAGGCTTTTCCATTGACCAGAAATGCAATTACCGATCTTTGGATGAAAATTAACATCAGGTCGTTTAAGGAAAATGCTAGGGAGCAACGTGTTCTTATTCTGTCAGCATTTGTCCAGCTTCACAAGCAACATCCCTGGAAAGTGATTCCCAATCAGTTAATACATTAGGGAATGAGAGATCTCCTCACCTTCACTGGATCCTTGGCTGGGCTTAGAGGAGGTCCCTTTCGGTTCCAAGGACGTGTTGCTCGATCGGCCCGCAGTGGATCTCCTGGGCGTTGGGCTGTACGCTATTCTGTCGGCTCCTACTTCCTGGTGATCAGAGAAGGAGTTTGCAGTTTTTGTAGGAAATTCTCGGGAATTTCCCGAGCAAGGAAATTCTTCACGTTGACCCCCTTCCCCTTGCCCTCACAAGCACTCAACTTGCCCCATCAGGGCAGATGGAGGCACGCGAAGGCTGCGATGAGGTGACGGCAAACGGCAGTGGACGTTGTGGGACACTGCAAGGCTGAATTCTCAGGACGTTTGGTGTGACAGCTCAATAACAAGCCAGCTGTGACCTTACTGTACAAACAGAGGTGACCGTAAGTGCAACAAGCAAAGAAGGAAGTGAACTGTCTGCCAAATCAGTGATATTACCATTCGCAATTACAGGCACACCAGAGCCATTTATGTTCTCAAAAATGTAAAATGTTCTAGCTTGATGGAGGAATTCCTCTGATCCATAATGAGCAGTGAGTATAGCCACTGGATGGTGGCGTGTTTGCAAAGCTTCTGTCTCGTGTATGAGAACTTCTGAGAACCTAAAAGAAGTGTCAGTTTTTTCTTCCTAGACTGGCCCTACTTATCATCTGCAAACCTTCCACTTTTTCAATCAGGGAGCATCTTACCACTCAACCCTGTTTTGCAGTGTGATGTCAGGGATTATTGGGGGTGCAGTGGCGGGGGAGTCAGACGTCTGGAAGAAACATGCACATCATGGCTCAGTGACCCGACGCCTCTGCTTTAATAGGGCGCCTGGCTCCAGACGCAGAGCGGACCACAGGACTTTCTGGAGGGGTCAGGGGGACATTTCAGTGTAAATATTCAAAAAGTGTGGCTCAGAGGGTGAGGCCTGTGACTGGAAGGTTGCCAGTTCAAATCCCATGGTTGGAGAAGCAGCCACATCTCCACCGGGCCCTTGAGCAAGGTCCTTAACCCCCAAACAAATGCTCCGGGGTCCCCAGAAAGATGGCTGCCCCTGTGTTCAGACCCCCAGCTTCACTCTCACTCATGTGTGTGTTCTAAAAAACACGGGATATGTGAAAACTAACAATTTCCAAAAGAACCGTTATGAATAGCAAATACAGCACCGTTTAATTCCTTCCTATTTACAATAATCAAAGAAAATCTGTTAATGGTTGGCATTTGCCCAGTCTTGGAGAGGGCCAAGCCTACCTCCCCCCCCCTCCCCCCCCCGAGGAGGTGGACCAGCTTCTTAGACAGAGTCTAATAACATGGAAGCTGGGGGGAGACCTTTTCAGCAGATTACTCTTTCACGTAGCTCTACCCAGAAAGCCTCATTTAAATACAAATCAGGACTGTCATTCTGCCAAGGCGAGTCTTTCCTGCTCAGGCTTCTCCCCTCTCAGCACCCTCAGACCTCCCAGTTTGGGTTCCTCAGGCTTCTAGCTAAAATTATATTAGCATTAGCATATTAGCGTTTCAGTTTGCCCAGTTACCATAATCTGTAGTAATACCATGAAAAGAGAAGTACTCACTACGCCACCTAGCTGTATTAAGTACATTTGTGATGACCTTGATCTCATTAAGAAGGAATACCTTGGGTTTATCTCTAAATGTAGCATTATCTTATATTTCCTTCAAAACAATATTATTGACTGCTGTTTTCTGTAGACTTAACTTTCATATCAACACCTTCGAGATAACAGTCTGTGATTGGCATCTAACAGAACAAAAGCAAATATGCCAAGTTAAAGTAAAGTTACAATGTCATTCATTTTATAACCAAACTGATTTTGGCTTAACTAAGGTCTTAAACCATAAATGTGGAGTTTATGGATAAATTTCATGCAGCCTGGTCATGTCTTTTGAGACTGAGCTGTTTTCACACACCCATTATTGGGTATAATCAGATGCTCACACAGGTGGGATACTCATGCTGTTTTGGGGCACTGCGGATAGAGTCCCTGCTTGAAGAGCAGATTCAAAGGGAGAGTCATGAGGCATTTCACATGCATGACGCAACAGGAAATCCTGAGTAGAGATATGACTAGATTGAGACGCGCTCCCACTGATCCAGACACTTCAGCTCCCCTGCGATTATGAAGGGATTTGTGTGACCAGCACTATCTTTCCTCTCCAGCTTGGTGAGATGAGCCTCAGGTAGAGATTTGAAAATATAGACCTGGGGAGACACCTCTCGCAAGCCCCCTGCCCCCCCCCGCCCCCGCTTATATCGCAGGTTTCTCTCCAGACACCTTCGATCGGCGAACAAAGACCTTGAGCGATCGCGCCCGGGGCTGCAGCATGGCCGGGCGATCGCTATCGAGCTTCACGTAGCTTTCGCCGTACGACAGCGAGCTGAGGTTTCGAATTTAAGGAAGCGTGCTGTGCTGATAGGTTAACAGGAAAGGGAAAAAATACTGTAAGAAACAGAATGTTTGCACAGGAAACTGGCACAAAATGCAGCGTCACAAGGACATACTTGTCAAAACCGAAGAATAATATCTCCCTGTTCCTCTTAATGTCACCAGGGTAACCTTCCCTCTGAATAATTGATAAATGTCTCTGCCACGTAAGCAACTTTATTTGAGAGGGGCATTGATAGCGCCTTGTGCAGGACTGGAAATGTTTAAATGAACTTCCAGGTAGAGGGAGGATGTTGAACGCTGAGAAGGACAGTGTTGTAATGATATATTATATCTTGTCTCCATAGCCGGCTCTGATCTCATTCTCCTATGACTGGAAAAGTCCTTCGTCCTCCTTGGTCCAATTGTCATTTTAGCGAAAGCAAACTTTGTGCTGTAAAGTCCCCCTCCCCTTTCTCTCCTTTCTTGGTTGCTTTTCTGCATATCCGGAGTGGTCCATCGGAGGCTGTGTATCCGAGGTTCGCTCACATGTGTATCGCTCCTCCGCAGCCTTCACCGTGGGGCAACGCGAGTGACTGCACCCTTTTCACAGGCCACTGCAGTCATGAACCTTGGGGAGGTGCTCATCACCGTGTTTTAGCACCGTGCCTGCTCTCCTAACATGTCTGTGACATAGCCCCCCCCCCCCCGCAAAGACATGCGGCCTCTTCCGTGTCAAAACTATCTGGCTGAGGACAAAGAGAGACAACTCTCACTGAGCACAGCCAATTCCTGCATCAGCACAACAAATCATCCATACCTAGTTGTATGCAGGGTCACGGAGGTCTGTCCCAGAAGCTACGTGTGCAAGGCAGGGAATAATCCCGGATGGGGCACCAACCCATCGCAGGGCACGCACACCATCTCCGGCTACAGACGTTTTAGTAACTCCGATTTACCTTGACAGCTTTTTTTTTTGAGAAATCGGGGGACCTAGAGGAAACCCCACGATGACATGGGAAAGGCATGCAAACGCCACACACATAGAGCCGGGGTTTGGGAAATTGAACCCTGCTCAAGAACCCTGGTGTGAGGCAACAACGCCGAATTGGTAGACTGTCTGCTATCCATATTCCTTAACCGCTTGTCCAGTAATGGTGAGTATGGAGCCCACCCCAAAGTCCAAGCCAGCAAGCACCTTGGATGGGATGCCTGTCCATGCAGGCTAGACAAACATTATTGGTGATTTATAACCTGCAATCGCCTGCCCACGTTATACCACTGATGTTCAGCTCTGCCTGATGTGCTCAGAAGGGGAAGGTACTGGATTAGGCTTTTGATGTAATTTTGATGTCAAACATCATACATGCCGGTCATTTCTCAGTCCTCTGTTCAAAGTCATGTATGTGTCCCCACTGTGTGATAAGTCATAGGGAGGGGTGATCCTTTCTTTAGGCTGTGTGTAAGATATCTCATGCACACACACAGAATTCAGAGGTCACACTATCTTTCTGGATGCCAAGCTGCACCTTGATGAAGCATCAGGGGACAAGAGGATATGAAGGAACAGGTTGCCATGGCAAAGCACGTTTGAACCGAGCCAGTGATGGCCTACACTTCGGACCGCACAACATGCATCTGACTTAGATAAAGCTTTGCGGCCATTGTCACATGACCTGTGTGACACTGCAACATACAGTGGACAAGAAGCTTGTCAGTGAATAAGAGCTGAAAAAATTACTTTGTTGAAACAAACAGATTCATATCAGACATGGCAAACCCAACATCCAAGGTGGCCGTCTTGGCAAAAACAAACTGGCAGGAAATCTGCAAGAGCCAGAATGTCGCTTGCAGTTTCTCTTACAGTCTCTCATGAAAAAGCACCGCTTTATATTCTCAACAGATAATAATCACTTACCAAGTTACCAGTGTGTGAATCGACTACCAGTGTGCTTCTCCCCTAACCTTATCCCTTCCCCAGAGCCCCCACATCCTACTTCATCTCACAAGAGTTTATTGGGGACAGCCAGTTACAGCAGACTCATGACATTTAGCACCAAGCATCCCACAAAATTAATATTTTACAGCATAAAGACCAGATTATACTCACAGCATGCAAACAGTTTCATTTAAACGTGTGGGATCACAATCGCAGGGCATGTTTATGGATCTTGCTGACAGCCGAGCTTATTTGGACAGCCCCAGACTGTTTTTGCGAACTTGTTCTAAGGTAAACCGAGTTAATCATTCTGTGGGTCAGCGGTCACCTTGACACGTGCCCAGCGGCGCCTGCCACCTTCGTGTCACTAATGCTTAACCAGCCCCCGTCGCCGGCCCCCGTCGCCAGCCCCCATCGCCAGCCCCCGTCGCCGGCCCCCGTCACCGGCCCCCGTCGCCGGCCCCCATCGCCAGCCCCCGTCGCCAGCCCCCGTCACCGGCCCACGTCTCTATTAAGATAATCCACTTCCCGACTGTTGGTTTCTTTGTCGGTTTAAATTTGACATGGCAACCGGAATGGTTCCTATTTTCTGTCAACCGAGTTCTTGAGAAAAAGAAACATATTAATCAAGAAATAAGCATACCCCAAACAATCAAATTATGCTCTCAGTTCTACCTTTTCCTCCAATTTGTAAGATATTACTAAGCCCAGACTCTGTGACTGTTTTTACTCAGTTCTCAGTTTTTAAATGAGTAAGCCCCCCCGGAGGCAGATCGTGTATTTACACAAAAGACAACTTTGTT